GTCAGTTGACCATGGATAACGTATCCTAGTTCTCGTCTTGGTTCGTGTCAGATTGTCTGGGACAGCGTCGGGGACAGCGTCGTTGGTGGCTGAAAAGGCCAATCCGGGACAGGCATTCTTTGCCGCAGAAGTCGCAGCTGTAGGTGGTTCCCTGGCTGTTGTTGTTGCGTAACTTCCTGCGGGCTCGCTTTTCTTCTGATGCACGCATCATGTTCGTTTCGCCTGACTTGAGCTGTGTGGTCAGGGTGCCCCTCCACTTACGTATTGTGAGAGAATGAGCAATTACGTAGGGGATATTTACATAATAGTGCAGAAGTGCTGATTTAATGGGTATTATGTATAATTTAACTTCAACATTTATTGTAAGGGATAGAAATAATTGAAAATGCCATTTGTCTAATATTGGAGATATAATTAAAAATAAATGCATTACTCTTTCTCTTACCTTGCGTTTTGGCTTCGTTTGATTATTTTAGTGATAAGCCATAGTTGGTCTGGTCTCCTCTCTCCCCTAATCCTTCCTCCCCCATCATTTATTTATCTATTGTTCTTTCCTTATCGTGGTGGGACAGATGCAGCCTCAGGGTTCAGATCAAGGTAACCAGTAGAAACCAGAAATCTCTCAAGGGAGACTCAAGAAAACCCCAGATGATCATCTCATACAGACCATTTAATAAGTGGTTCAGTCTCCGCTCTTGTCTCGCGTATGTGGTCCATGTCTCGCTCCCGTACAGCAGGGTGCTGATGACTACCTCGAGTAACACAATAACTGACACAATAATCAACAGAAAAATTGTCTTTTTATTTACAAGGAGGAGGGGGAGGAGACCTTCAACTGGGACGGGGAGGGGGAGGAGCTACTGGGAGGGGTGGCCCCTGCGAGCGCTCCTGCGGGGGCGGACTTGCACATGCGGCGCAGGCTGCTCTGGGAGGTGGGCAGGAGCAGGGGCCATTGCAGGGGCGGCAGGGGGCATTGGAGCAGGGGCCATTGCAGGGGCGGGAGGAGGCATTGGAGCAGGGGCCATTGCAGGGGCGGGAGGAGGCATTGGAGCAGGGGCCATTGCAGGGGCGGGAGGAGGCATTGGAGCAGGGGCCATTGCAGGGGCGGGAGGAGGCATTGGAGCAGGGGCCATTGCAGGGGCGGGAGGAGGCATTGGAGCTGGGGGCATTGCAGGGGCGGGAGGAGGCATTGGAGCAGGGGCCACTGCAGGGGCAGGAGGGGGCATTGGAGCAGGGGCCATTGCAGGGGCAGGAGGGGGCACTGGAGCTGGGGGCATTGCAGGGGCGACAGGGGGCATGGGCAGTGCTACGGGAGGGATGGCAGGGGTATGGGGTATGGCCATGCCGTAGTGAATTGCGTGTGCTATGTGCGCTGTGAGGATGGCCATGGAGTCGGCCATCCTCGTGCACTGGGCCTGGAAGGCACCCCAGGCCTCCTGGCGCCATTGCAGGTCCCCCTGGACGTGCTCCTGAATGGAGCCCTATATTCCCTCCACCGCCTGGACGTGGCGGTGAAGGAGCTGGTCACGGTGGTGGAGCCTGCGCCTGCGTAGTTGGGCAGCTGGGAGTGCCACTGCTGCTGGACTGGAGGGTCCCCAGCTTTGCTCGGTCCCGCTGCAGGGAAGAAAAGAAAGGATGGGTCAGGCAGACAGGCCGGCCACTGTCCCCACACCTCATGCCCTTCACCCCTGAGCCCAGGTGACCCCACAGTTGTGTGGCTTGAGCACACTCGGTTCCCCCCCTGCCCCGCGTGTTGTATGTTTGCAAGGAGGACCGCCCCTGGAGTAGGGTCCTCCTCCATGTATTGTAACCACCGGTCTGTGTCCTGGCCCCGTGGAGGGCGGGAGGGTGCTTGTGTTGCGTTCACCTGTGGAACTCCTTGCCGGTGGAGACTGTGAAGGCTTTGGGCTAATCACTGGCGTTTGACAGGGAGCGAGATGCATCCCCACACAGTGCCTGGGAGCACATCTG